GACCAGAGAAACATACACCCAAATTAAATTTACACCAAAATTATTAATTAACATTACCTTTATTAATTTAAACAATGAGATTGAGTCAAAGTCACATCTGACAATTTGCACAGACGAATTTTCATATATTGTATTATCCTACTATTGTTACACAATTTATTAACATACTCTTTTTAGGGTCATTTAGGTTCTTTTGATAACGATAGCAGAAAATAGCTATCGAAACGTCAAGGAAATTTTTCAAATTAATTTCTCTACTAATTGGAATTTTCTCTTACAGCTTGAGCCTAAGTGTGTCGCAGGATACCCTCTAGGTGATAGTTCTTGATTACTTTTTGATAAATAATTCGTTCTAATTGCGAAATAGGAGCACTATTTATCAATCTGTAATAAAAGGCGTGAGACAATTCTGTCTTTTTTAAATACAAAAATTTTTGAGGCGAAATACCCAAAAAGAAGTTTGTAAAAAAATGAAACCGCCTCAACAATATAGAACTTATCTACAACTTAAAATACATTTTCAAAAAGGCCCAGAAAAAATTTAGTTTTTTTCGAATATTTCCCGAAGCAATAGAAACTTTCCAATGCTTAAAACAGCATTTTGTTCAGCATCAAAATGCACAGCTTTGCCCTAATTTAACCTGCTTAAACTGTGCTTAATCAGGAACATTTGAGGACAGTTTTTAAAGTACGGCTAATAAAGTAGTTAAAAACGAACAACCATTATGTTTGTATTGATTGCAAGTGAATTGGCCTATACCGAAAACGGGTAACTGACTTTTCGGAGCTATTTTAGTTACATTGCATTAATATTCTAGATTGAAATGATCTCGTAACACCTGCATGGCTATCATCCAATATTGCTATGAATTATTAATACTTTGTTCCTATTTCGAAATGGAATACAAATCAGTTGCTAAAGTCCGTTTCAGGCAAATTTTATTGCCTTATTTATCTACCAGTTAACAGTTTTGAATGTTTCGTTTCTTTTTTTAGAAAAACAAGTCGGGAAAATTTGATTTTTTTGGTTTGCCTTCCCGAGTGTAACTATCGGGAACATGGGAAATTATTTTTGCAACAGTTCAGACAATTGCCAAAAATCGACGAAAATTGCTTTTAACTTGATATTTCTTGCAGCAATAGCGCAAACTTGTATCTATGAAATGGCGCATAAAGGAGCTTTGTGGTCAAACGCAGTTTCGAATAAAAAAAATTTGAAAAATTCCTTGCCTGGTTTAACTAGCGGAAACATTATCTACCTAAAAGTCGCAAAAAATTTTTGCTCCGAAAGTTGCGAAATATATCTACGAAAAATTGAGGATTTTCTCAGTAAAATCGTGAAACGATGAGCTCTCTAGTTATTTTAAACTCTGACTAAGAAAATGTTGCAAAATACCTTTTCGGGAGTGATTAGCGGGAATATTGCAATTATAAACCGAGTTGAGACTATGGCCAAAAATCGAAGAAAATTGCTTTTAATTCCAGAATTGTCGCGCAAATAGAGCAATATTTTCTCTATAAAATCGCGTAAAAAATCATTCGTAATGTTGAGTAAAATTTTTTTAAATACTTTTACGGATGTGACTTGCTGGAACATTATCATTAGCGACTATCAACCCAACGGTTTACTATATTGATGTCAAAAATCGAGGAAATTTACCCGAAAAACAACATCTGGTGGCCGAATACAGCAAAGATTTCTCGATAAAATGACGCAGAAAAACCGTTTGGTTAATCGCGATTTTGGGGCAAAACTTTTCGGATTAAAGGAAACAATGTAAGTTCATCCCGCGAGTTAAGAAATCTGCAAAAAATCGCGGAAAATCACCATTGAAACTAAACTCAACTAACTAATAGAGCACTGACAACTCTATCCAAAAAAATGAAGAGCAACTTTCTACTTAGTCTTGATTTTGGTTGATGATTTTTTCAAAAATGCCTTGCTGGGTGTGACTAACTGCAACATTGCAAATATCTACCTAAAAGTTTAGGCAATTGCCAAAAATCGAGAAAAACTGCATTTAAATTCACATTTCTGGAACCAATAGAGTAAACCTTTCTCTATCAAACGGCGTATAAAGGACCGCTTTAATCAATCACAATTTTGCGGAAAGATTTTTTGAAAAATTCTTTATCGGGTGTGCGAGGCGGAAACATTGCAATTATCTACCCAGTAGTTTAAAAAATTGCCACAAATCGAGGAAGATGCCTGCGCCTGTAAAGCAATATTACGAGCAGATATAGAGAAGTTTTCTCTGTCAAATGGCGCAGAAATAAACTTATTATTATATTACATATTATAAACTTATATTTCCGGAAAATTAATTCTACCTAATCGTTGCTTGTTTTCGTCGTGCATTAAGGCGATTTTTATTTATTTACTCGAAAATAATGGGTTGCACACAAAAAACCCAAGAGGGCTTTTTTGTTTAGAAATGAACGGGCAATGAAATGGGAGAATTTATTTTGAGAAAAATCAGTGGCGCACCATTTTTTCTTCAAAAATATTGACCGCGCCACTGCAAACCAAAAAAATGTTTGATTCAACAGAAACATTGCCAGTGCAAAATGCTTGAAACATTCTCACTCAATCTAGGAGAGTCAAAAAACCCCAATTTTTTTTATAGAAAAACTGTGAATTTGTCGCGTGGCGGCAACGTTGGCTGTTTCTATTTTATCAGGCCGAGTATCACACAGAATGATTGATACGATTCAACCGTGGTGAAAAACTACTAGAATACACGTGACTGTGAGAGAGTGAATTGGTGACAATTGACAATCATTGCGTCGGTTAAATATGCACGTGATCAAGTAGTTGAAGCCACTTCCCATGCAGTCAACATCGAAAGACCCGCTGTTATCAGCGTTGTTGGATGGCTTATCAAACCGTAGAAGTACTTGTGAAAGTACTTCTATGCGTTGCATGCTTGTGGTGCCATGATTTATTGGCCTGGTCGAAGCGATTTGCATGCAATTGTAATTGAAACATACCAAAGAAAGACATAAAGATAAACACCGCATTGTGCGAGAATAAACGCCGCATCGATCCTGGAGAAAATTTAATTTCTCAACCTCCAATCGCTCGAAAGGTTATTAAGCCATTTGGAGGCTCAGTTGCAACGCAGCTGAGCATTAGCGCGCTAAATGCTAAACTCGCAACATAAAATCAATCCTAATGGCGTCCTTAGGCAATAAAAGTGGCCAGACCGAAGGCAAATTAGCCCGATCCACGTTATAAATTGCT